AAAGTTTATTTATCAAATTAGCATGACTAAATAATAATGCAGATAATCCTAACAGCAACCAAAAAGAAAAAAAAAAAGAAAAAAAAAAGAAAAAAAATAACAAAATACCAAGCCTGTGTCGTTTTATTGCTTCAAAAGAAACAATTGGAGGTAAGAGGATCAAGTAGAAAACTGGAGCAACCAAGGGGTTAAAGATACAGTTTACACTTGGGAATTCTCTATAATATGCTCCTCCTTCCCTAGCAGTGCTGCCAAAAATCATCTGACAGGAAACATAAGATTAAGTTTGTCCTACCTAAGTGAACAAAGAGTGCTCAGAACAGGCAACCAGTTCACTGCAGAGCGGGAACTTTTCTAATCCTGCTGGAATCTGCAGTGCTGCTCAGAAAATATTACTGAAGTTGTTTTCTTTACTTTAATATCTTGCTTCTGGATATTCTCATTCATTTTGGTCACACTGCAGTTCTTGCTGCTTCTCCCATAAATGTTAACTTAAAGCTGCAAACATAATCACATGGAAAATGGACATTACTGATTCCTATGGTCCATTGTTCCCCCATTCTAAGTCCCTGAAGTTCAAGTTCAATCTGGAATTACATCATGTCTGGTTTCTCCTGGTTACCAGACGGCTTGAGACGTGACCACAGCTACAGAAAAAACAGACAGCCTTCTTCACGCTTCGGCTCCCTTATCGATTCAAACATAAACATTTTTTCTTTCTCTCAAGTATGCTTCAAGTATGGAGCACGGTTAATTTAGAGATTAAGTTTCAAATTAGATTATCTAATGGCATTTTAATGGATTGATGACCCATTTCCTGTGGGATGGCAGCATGCAAGTCTGGCTTGAATACAATTAATTTCTTAGGAAGTGTTCTGAAGATGTTTGCCTAGATGGAAAGGAAAAAAAATGTTCTGCACATCTTTCTGCATTACAGAGTTTGGCAAAACCGTTAGAGTTAGCAATTTAAATTAAAGACCAGAAACCATTAGGTTTTCTTTCTATGAATACTTATTCAACAAGGATATTTCAGCATATTTTCTTAAATTGTAATGAATTGATATTTCTATTCCAAATCATTGTCCAATGGGATTTGGGCTGGGGGGGGCAGAGGATATGAACCGTTGCTCTAACAGGTGTCTGTGTTTGCCAAAATGTGCTTACCACAGCAATGCTGCTGACTGGGTTATTTTGCTTGCTTGATACCAAACATATAAGGTACCATGCTACAAAAGCAATCTGCACCCATTTTCAACTCCCCTCCTACTTCTTTCACAAATCACAGATTATCCCATTTGATTGCCTTATCGGCATTACTGGCACAAACCTGAGTGGTGCTGGGGGAAAAAAAATGGTGCTTGGAAAGCTGAACACCCCTACAGCTAGAGCTGAGAAGAAAATTGAGCACTCTGAGAACAGAGCTCCCCTCAGCATCTCCAGGAACAAAACAGCTGTTGTACTATGCTTACATGTCAAGATAACAGACCAAAAGCAGGAAATGTTAACCTAGTGCATTTGCCTGGGTAGTGTAAATTTAATGTTAAAGTAACAGTAAAACTAACACAGAAAGATTGTTAAAAAAAAAAAAAAAGTAAATAACTAACAATAGTTGGGAATAAAATTATATTTGCCAATAGCTGAGTTAAAATGCACACTCTGGCAATGAAAATTTGCTTACAGTCTGTAAAAGACTTGCAAATACCCAACATGCTCTAAAAGAGACCCATCATGCTGGTTTTTATGAGTGGTCCCGCTGGAATTAGTATCAATGGCATAACAAGGGGTTGAGATTCAAGCTAAACTAATCTTGTCAGATTTACACACACACACTTTTTGTCACTCTCACTCATGTCTTCAGTTTACTTGTTGCATATACTGTTGCTCTCATGTAGTGCCTGAGCCTGTATTTTCCTAATTGGGCCTTACAGACTTTCACAGCTTCCTCTCACCTTCTGTCTCCAGGAAAACAGTTACTACAACAGAACTGCGATTAAGAAAAAAAGGGGGTTTTTTTAATGAATTCTGAGTATCTTCTTCACATGTATAGCAAAAAAAAAAAAAAAAAAAAAGACCTAATTGAGAACTTAATTCTACCGATGTGCTTAAAAATTTTTCAAAGTTCAGCAGACCTAATAAAATATATACCATAAATGCTCTAAGTAAGTAACAAAAAAAGAAGTAATTGTAGATGGTTAGGGTATCAGCAGCAAAATAAAAATTAGTACTTCCAAATACCTTAATAATAACCAGATTTATTCCCTTTTTTTTAGGATGCTCACACAATGTTTTATATAAGTATTCCCCCTAAAGATACTAGAATGTTTAATTCAGCTAAGCAAAGTATAAATCTAGTTTTTATTAACTCTATTCCTTGTAAGTCTTCTAGTTTTGAAGAAAATGGTGCATCAGTGACCTAAAGTTTAGTGGGTTTGCTTAGTTGGTTGGGTTTTTTTGTCTTGTATTAGTCATATTTTTTTACAAAGTTCAGTCTTTTGCATATGGATCACTACTGTCTTATACCTGAGACTTTAAATGCCAACAGATACATAGTTTTATAAGGGAAAAGAAAAACCTGGAAAATGTATTTTGAATTCCGTGTATTGTAATTTGAAATCTATGCATCTTATCTACTATTAGGTCTGACAGGCAGCTACTAATTCGACAAAGAGGTTTTATCATCCTTCGCTCTCCCCAAGTTTCCAAGGTGTGGTTCACCAACAATGCTCCGTGACAAAGCTTTTAGCTTGGCCCTCTCTGCTACCTGATTTCTGTAGCGACAGGACACCTAACATTGAGGCACTGCCAACTTTGTTACCTTCTTGAGGTAAATGATGTTCCTGAAAGATCAGTATACTTAAAATAGCCACAAAAGCCTGCTGTAAAAGGTCAGATTGAGTACCATCAAAATGAGCCCTGCAGATTTGAGGAAAACACACAATCTAACATTTATCAAACCATTTTGTGGGGAAAAATTTGATTGTCTGGACTGGAATATATTTCTTTGCCAACAAGCAACAATTCCTTTTGCAGTAGGTTCTTCTTTTTAGTGTTAGTTTTAGTGTTAGAAGAGCTCACTGCTCCTTAGCCTGCGCTTGTATCATTTTTCTTCTTAGACTTTCACCTACATGGGATCTGAAGAATGTTGTATTTCAAAGCCCAAATCCTAAAAGCCATCTACTTATGGGGAACTAGCAGTTTCTTTGTCCTCCCAGGCTATGCTTAGTTCAAGGATAAGTAACTGTAATTTTGGCCTGTAAAGAGACGCCCATGGCAGAATTTGTGCCCAAGCTCATCTGGCAGCACTTTTGTATGTTGCTAGGGTCAATGTGGCAGGCAGCACTCTGGGAGCGACCTGCAAGCAGTTTTGTCTATAATCTATCATGGGGCATGCTTGTATTCATTTCTGAAGTTTCCTTGGTCATTGCCTAGAAGTCTTCTCCCCCACTTTCCTTTCTTTTCATAATTTATGTTGAAAGGTTTCACGTGACAGGTACTGAAAAACAGAATTCAGCAAGCATTGGGACAGTGCTTCAGCCAGTATAAACTGGCATTGCTTTAAAGGGCGCCCAATTTATGACTGATCAAAACCATTTAAGGATATTCCTAGACAAGCAGTTATTATATAATTTCCTAATGCCTGTCAATGCCCTGAAAAAGCAACATCCTTTGTAGTAGAAGAGTAAATCACCCACTCTGTGCTTTACTCGCTCAGTTTGGATTCACTCTTGGCGGTACATTGAAAACTGTGGCAATTACTGCGTGATGGGGATTTATAAACTGAATCATAGCTCTAGAGGAGATGAGGTGAATCCATTAGCTAATTTTCCGTTGTGTCATTTAATCTATAAGGAAAGAAATTACAAGACCTTGCATTTCCACCACAGTTCTTCCAGATTTTAAACATTATTTCAGAAAAATTGCAAAAAGGAAAAATAAAGCACAAATATTCAAAGCATTTATACTTCAGATTTGTAAACAACACCAATTTTTAAATTCCATAATTACCCTTCCAAGTTTATACTCAAAAACCTCAAACCTTCTAGGAATCCATAGTACAATACTAGGCATTTTGTACATAACACACACTCATACTGACACACACACACAAACTATTCAGTAGGACACATATGTTCATGTCCACACAAATGTCCAAGAAGTATTTAAATTATTTCAAGAGTGAGTAGCTAATAGCTCATCTGACAGGCTCCTAACCCACAGGCTTTACAGGTACAACCCCCATTAATTGTTGAGTGTCACAGATAATCCTGTACATGAAAGAGGTGAAAAACTGATGTATTACAATACTGCTGATTTGTTTACACACCTATTTAGACACACACACCTCTACTGTTGTCGTAAATCATTATATAACAAGAGATGTAAAAGCTAATAATGAGTAACTTATTAATTTACCAAAAGTTAATGGGTTTTATTGTGCTTGCTTTTTTTCAGACAAAAGGAAACTCTCTTCTGTGTAAATAATTCCTAATTATTCTGTTATTTAGCTAAGAAATGAGATGGTTTATATCTTACCTTCATATACATGTTAGCGACCTAAATCTACACCAGCCAATTAATCAGAAAAGTCTCTATGAATAGTATGCTTATTCATTATCCAAAACCACCACCACCTCAGATGTTTATTATTATGCTCATTTATACTTCTAACATCACAATTTTCTTTGTGTTAACCACTAAGGCCCCCAAAATTTGACCTTTAATTCTGCAACACCTTTTTAAAGCCTAAAATCAATATTCCCTTACGTTTACAAACCCTTTTCATTTGACATCACAGCATTGTCATTCCAGGTGCTTAATCAATGTAGTTTCTAAATTCAGCTTCCACTAAAAATAACTTGAATGTGTACGGGAGCAATATTATACATGCCTTTTTATCGAATGCTGTCACATATTCTTCTGGAGACCCGCTAAAACAGATACTGCAACTCAATGCAACTTTTTTAGAGGTGGTGTAGGGGTGGAAATAATTAAAATGTTACCTTTGCCAAGTAATTCCCAATGTATCCTCACTGGCACTGGGGTATAAATGCCTGCCGTTTTGATTCATGGTCCAGTCACAAATTCTCAGCTGTCAATTGAAACCTAGCAGTCAGATATGGATCGAGCAGTACTACAGTTTTTAGTATTTAAATGAACACATGCAAACTAGTACCGTACATTGCAAAAGACTTACTTTCCCAAGAAGTAATTTTACAAAATAAAACAAACAAATAAAGAAAAATAACTTATTTTGAGAAATAAACACCTATAGATTTGCTTAAGATAATGCTACTTTAATAAGTTCCTCTATTAATAAAGCATGAAAGAGTAACTAGTGTTTAGCACATAACAGTTAGCCATTATTAGATTACAAACTGAGCTGGAAGAAAAGGAAGTGTTAATATTCAATAGTGAGATACTTTAAGAAAGGAAATAAAAATTTTGTTTTCTCTAAGCAATGCTCTATATATTGTGTATTAAGTAAAGGTCAAATATAATCAATATCTTGTAGCATGCATTTCGTGAAACATAGAAGACATGCAATTTATAGAAAATTTGCCCAAATTAAAAAAAACAAAAAAAAACAAAAAAAAAACAAACCTGTATGGTCTTATCTTGCTATTTAAGAAGGATAAAGGTATTTTGTAACTGAAGTTTATTAATCTAGTGTTACTGAAATTGGTATTACTTAGCAAGAGGTGCTAAAATAAGCTAATCTTGTTTTAAACTCAGAATAATAGTATTGAAAATACTTAATTGCATTTTAATATAATCAGGAATGTACTAAATGTTAGCTGAAACAAATTCTTCCCAGATCCTCAAATAATCAGTTCTGCCTTCACAGATTGTTCAAGCAACGCTCTATAGCTCTGTTTATTTACCAGCCGCCCTACAGTGTTAGCAGATTTATTGAAAAAATATACTGCTTATTTTTAAGTTTAAGAAAGTGAACTTATCTGGCTTGTGAAGAAAACGTACATTTTAACCTCTGTATAATCACGCTGTATATAAATTGCTGTACCATTATATATGATATAGCACTCTGAATTGAAGATAACCTTGCTGCTCAGTTTAATTGCATTTGATGCATTTTGGTTTTCCCTATCCATATTCACCATCTTTAGATGGTGCAGCCTACAGCAAACAAACTACAATAAACTGTTTTCACAGGAGCACAATTAATTGCAGTCTTTTCCTGAAAAATACAAATGCTGAGGACAAGACAATATTGCAAACCTGACCTTGTCTGGCTGTTAGACTCATAAGCTTCCTGCTGTTAAGGTCTGAGAAATGGAAATGTTAGTCTCTGATGTTTTCACAGGGATTGTTTCTTGTTTGTTATCTAAAGAACTCCAAGGGACCTTCTAAAGGCCATTAAAAGCATGACTAAACCACATGGAATTAACCAGAAAAGGAAACATGAAGTTGAAAAGTTTGCTAGAGGTTAACTGTGAATAATATATTAAATATGTTTAAAGAAAGTGGTAATTAAATATTTGGTTTAGTCACTATACACAACAGTGTTGTAAACCTGATTTTAATAGTGAAGACATAGTAAAATATGTAATCTCAGTCACCCAATGTACAGTAAATGTATTTCTGCTATAATCTTTAAGAATGTCATCGTCTTCATTACAGATGCATATTTTAAAGGTTTATAACTGCTATAAAAACTCACTTCCAGTTGAAACACAAGACAGAGAGGTTAAACCTCCCCTCTTTTCCTCTTTAACAAAATATAAAATCAATAGATAAAAGCCCTTTGTCTGATTAGAACAATAAAAAGTACTAAAATCACAAACTTAGTGTTACCAAATTATTTTATGCACTTAGGTCTAGCTCAAAAATCTGGCAAGCATTTCACTTGCTATAGAACCTGATTGCATTTGCCATTTGGGGAAAACAGTAAGGGATTGATACAGTAGGTATAGTAAATCAGCTTCTGCTCTAAACCATTATATTCTTCCCACAGTCTGTATGAAAACTTTCCACATATGTGTTAAATTTATCACTAAGGAAACTCCAAAAACAGCTTTTCAAATGTATTTCATAAATGTTAGCAATCACATACTTCGCATTACATACAGTCAATACATATACATCTAAATACTGCCATGGTAATAATAGAACATGTGCATTTTACATATATATGCTGTAGACACCCACACACACATATATGAAGATTCACGCTACACCAGACTTACAGTTAGTGTACACTGTAGTGCTATTCACTGCACCAACTGTGCCATACTTGTGGTAGTGACAACACCTTTAAGAACTGCAAGTCTGTATGACCTGGGTCATGGGTTCTGTGATAAGCCCAGGACTGCATCAGCCATGCTGAACACTACTTTTCCAATGTTAAAAAGTATTGCTCCACACTCCTCAGGAGGCTCACATAGTTGCCATGTTGTCTTTAAAAACTAACCTGCCAACAAAATGGGTTTTTTTTCTCCCTCACATAAAATTTCTTTTCCCAAATCAGTACTGCTTGGAGATCAGGATGTCTAAGATTTAGAAATATACTTTTGAAAGTATGTAGAAATATCACTTTCAAAGTCTGTGTCTGCATCCTTAATGTGTGTTGAGTGCTTTCTGGGTAAAAATGCTGGAGAAGCTTAAAAGAGCTTTACAAGCCCTGTCCCCATTCGATGGAAGACGTCTGTTCACAGCAGCAGCAAGAACACGGCCCTTGGAGGACGTCCAGACAGCCCAGTGGGGAAAGCCTGAGGGTGCAGACCTGACATGAGTATCAAGCTTTGGAAGGATGTACGACACTTCAGTACAGCATTTTGAGTGCTATATATTGTATGGAGTCATGCTGAAAGCTTTCTGGCTAGTTAATGGTCCTCAGAGTAACTTAAGTGACCTCTGCCACAGTGTTAGCTGGAGATGAGAAGGCACATTCTCTGTCACTCACAGTAAGCCACCTAAAAGTTTCTCTGCAGGACATGTGAAAGGGAGAGGAAAGGAACTGCTTGAAGGCCACTTGAGAAAACTTGAATTCCTCAGTAGACGGACTTAACAAATAGTCCTCATGAGACGTTTAATAAATGCTGAAATACAGTACTAACTTTCTCAAAAATGAGCCATGAATGCAAAATAAAAGATGTGATTTGGCATGTGCCATGGTGAAAAGTCTTTCCTAGATGCCTGTTGGACAGGCCTGCTCTTCAGTCCCATGGCTTTGCTGTTTTCAGCAAGGCAAGCCACACAAACCCCCACTTCAATAACACCTTCCACCCACAAAACATTATCAATGATTTCTATTTTTCTTTATCTCTCTCCTAACCACACAGAAGAAGAACATGAGTCTGTATTCTGAAGTGGAAAAGGATGCCCAGCCTTGCAGTAGATGGGGAAACCTCACAGGCAGCCCAGACGCTTCCTGACATGTGTGGCTGCAGCTGTCACTCCCTCATCACTGCCACGTGTCCTCACCACTACACTCATGGAGTAGCAGAGAGCACAAAACGCACTGCAGGTGTTTCTCCAGGGGCAGCACAACTCCCTCACCCACTCCAGCTGTGCCACGGGAATGGGGCACAGGGCCAGGCAGAAGCACAGCAGTAGACCAAGTGCTTCTCCTGACTCCTCCACCTGCCTGACAGTCACCCACCTCCCTCTTCCTGTTCTGCCCTCTGTAAAATGCCAGGAAATTTCACTTTTCCAGTGCTGAGAGATGTTCTGATGTGAAGTTCTACCCAAGAGCTAGATTTCACATTAGCTGCCTTTTCAGTTTAAACTGGGCATCTTCTAAGCACAACCATCCTGTAGAGTTTTTTAAGTATGCAAATCCTACATACATTAAAAACCCACAGTCAACAGCTCAATCTTTAATCGTAGTCTGGATATTTTTAATAGGTTAATATTTAGGCAGGTTTTGTATTCTATTTAAAGAGGGGCTGTCTAAGACTAACATTCACTTCAAGCTCTTGTGATCGCTAGTGAAAGTAGATACGTATTTTGGAAAGTGTAATATGAGACCGTGCTATAGCTTCTGTTGGTTGAGAAAAGCCTGTAAAACATTTGCATATTGTCATTGTTTTGACTGAAACTTCCTTTAAATGTGTTTCCTTTCCAGCAAGCATATGTGAAAGGTGACCTCTTATCCATTTACATACCTCCCTGGTGGTCACATGACCCAGTTTTACGTCAAACTGTCAATTATGATAAGGGACACAATAAGAACAGCCTAAGTGTTGATAACCTGTTTCCTGGCTTTAATGAGAAGTTCTATTCTGGCTTTTTTGAGTCCACTTGTGTTCTTCTTTCAGCCTTCTGAAAGGCAAACAGATACTCTGTGTTCAGTGAACTTTTAAGTTTACAATTTTTATGATGAATAGTATGAAGAGAACTCCATTTTGAACCGTGTGATTCTGTAACTAAAAGATGCATCTGGTAAGAATAACTTCCTACCAAAGAGGTAGGGCAGTCTGGTGATAGAAAAAAAAAACTATCTACAGTTCTCTGATTTTGCATTTTAGAGACCTGAAGTGTTTCTTATTACTACGTACCTGGCAAATGCCTCACTCATAAATGTCAGAACTCTGTGACAATCATGCATACCACACACGGCTCCAGTGAAAACCATGCCATTATATTAATCAGTGCAAAGACTGGAAGAGTTCACCAGCTCCTCAGTGACTGTATCAGCATTAGTTAGCACAGTTTACTGTGACTGGAAAGTTCTAGAGGTCATTGTCTTCAGAGACCTCAATAGCTATCCCATTTAGTTTTATTATCTAATTAAAAATAGAATCACCCATACAAGACTCCAAGGTGCATTAAAATTAAATAAATGGCCAAGAAAGAAAACCTGGCTGTTACTTCATTCATTACAACAGAAACCTTACTATTTGTTAAACCATTGATCTGTATATTTGTAATAAATACAATCTGTATTTGCAATAAATACAAATGTGTATCTATCCATCCATCCATCCATCTATCTATCTATCTATTTATCTATCTATTTTTTTATATTGTTTACACAGGTAAAGTGCATGACTAGTATTTCCGGCAACATTCTAGCTTTATAGCCAGAAACAACATCAACCTGTCTCTGTCTATCATTTCAAGAACATAACAAATTCATGAAGATAAGAACAGTAACACAAGAAGGGTACAGAAGTGCCATTGCATAAACATGAGAATTCTGATCATTAAGACTTTCTTACTGAACTAATGATGTCTCCATCAAAATTATTTTGCCAAAATAATGGAGAGACAACTAGAGTCTTGCAAGGAACTGTATCCAGTTGCAGGAGATTGAATTCTACTGAGTTACCTCAGTTTGTTACTTTTTCCTCTGGTCTAGGCTTAGAAACCACAAATCTTCAGTAGATACAAATCAGAGAGAGAAGGGGGCAAAAAGTTGCTCCCATATAATTGTGAAGATTATCCAACCCTTCTTTTATGTGCAATTCATTTATGTTGTTTCTCAGCACACGTGATGATCACCAAGTCCTAGATTTGACTTCATAAAATAATTCCACCAGCCATCACTGAGAAAAACTCTCTCACTCTTACCAGGTCCCTTGTCCCTTCCTAAGGTGCCCTCCCTGCAGTTACATTGTCAATACTTAACAACTCTCAGAAGCTGATGCTGAATTAAGAAAAGCAAACCAAGTGGCCATTAATAATTTGTAATGTTAATACAATTGGGGGGAGGGAGGGGTGCTGACATGACTTTTCTTACAACAAAATTATAAAATACAAGTGACTCTATAGATGCCACTGAAGCAAGAGATACTCTCTGTAATTATTCATGTTACAGCATAGAAACACTTATCATTTCAAGGCAGGTAACAGGAAGACCCACCAGGAATTGCAACAGGAAGTGGACTGCATAGTTACAATTCCTCATTAGAGCCATGTATTCCTCACTATCAATGTAGCACCCTAAGGAATGTGGGTAACAGCATATTTTTCACAGTATCCAGATCAGTAAAAGCAAATAAACTGCTCCCATTAGTGTCATTATGCACTGTCTCAAAGTTGTATTCAGTGCTTCCCATCCAAATGTCAGTATTCCAGGTAGGTTGTGTTAGAAATTGTTTACTGAAAGTTGTAGCAAACTACCTCTTTGTCAAAAGACTCTATGTAAGTGTGTGTTGCAAAATACATGTGTAACTTTTAAATTTATTTGTGGTTACTGTAATTTAAACAGGCTAAATAATGGTTCTTTTTAACAACAAGTACTCAATGGTACACACCAATATTTCTCATAACCAGAGGGAATAAATCTTCATAAAGACTCCTCCAATGAAGTAAAAAATGTACCAGTGACAATATTTATTCTTGAGGGGTCAATGTGCATTACAGGGTATTGTGAATGTTTAAAAGGCCCCTCTGGAACTAAAACCATTGGCTTTCTAATTTAGATTTTCTCTCCACTAATACAAAATGATTGATTGCCTTTATTTCATGTACCCCTTGATTTTTCTTTTCATTCATCATGGACTGCTTTAAACCAGCTGCATTTAAAATCTGCCACAAGAAGAGTGGTCTCTTCTAAATTATCGTGAAGTAATGAAAGGACACAGTAAATCAATTTCATTTCTGCTTTACCAAAGGATGACCTTTGCTCTATTAAAGTTGTTTAGACAATCTCAGGGCTCTACCTCACTTTCTGGGCAATAAACATATATGGTACTGTCATCTCTGAGATGTCTTTAGGATTTAAGTGGGTGAAGGCAACTTAGAAACTTACATATACACACTTATATACTTGCATTGACCTGAAAAAGCTTTGTTGTTAAAGTACTCTGTTCCTTCAAATTGTTTCAGCACTACATGCTATTCCCTAATTTTATACATATCTATATGTGTAAGCACCCACACACACATCCCCCCCAAACACACTCAGGCAAGTATACACATATATCTGTTGCTTACATTAGAATAAAATAGGGAATTCAAGCAAAGATGAAACCATGACACAATTTTTAAATTTACTGTATGGCTCACTGGTCACCAACTGATGCTCTTGATTTAATGTAACTAGACTATGAAGCAATATACCTTAGAGAGGAGAACACTGGCTTCACACAGTGGCATTGAAGAATTTTTCTGTTTATGAAGTGTATGTGAGGCCTACTTTATTCTCTCCTTCCCTTTACCATGAAAGGGAGTAGAAGACACAGTGCATGTAAACACCAAAGACTGTGATGACCTTTGAGATCCCTTTTACTTTTATGTTTCTATGACACTACTGAAATGTCCACATTTCTTTCCACCTACACAAAGCCAAAAATATATAGAAGATGCATGAAACAAATAATATATGATTTACATGTCATAAACTCAGCCAAGAGAAAATTAAGCGTGCTGCCATTACCTTCTGGCATGTGACAAGAAGTTTGTAACCCTTTCAATGAACTTGGAAGAAGGTGGAGTGGGCTCAAGCAGTAGCAAATTTGCAGAAAATATTGTGTCTAAAAACATGTAGTGAAAAAAAAAATTATTGCACATCCCGAAATTAACTGGATGTCAGGGACTTTTCAAAGGATACTATGTAAAACTTCACATAAAAAGAAATCCGGAAATTACACATACTGTGTTTAAAAAGAGAAATGTTGTGTGTGTTTTAAAACACAACAGAATTAGAGAATGGTTTGTGTTGGAAGGGGCCTTAAAGATCATCTAGTTCCAACCCTGCTGCCATGGGCAGGGACACCTTCCACTAGATGAGGTTGCTCAATAAACATATACCGCACCTCTTTTAAAAAGAACCATGCTAAAGTAATTATAACACGTTTCATAATACAACAATCTTTCAGGGGTGAAAAAAAAAAGCAATACATCAGAAAATTTACTGAAAAATGAATAGTTGGCAAAAACTACTAATTGTCGTTTTGTATTTTCATAGAAGCGTACAGATGTTTCCAGTTATGTCTCACTGGTTAAAAAAAAAAGTTGGCAAAGCATCAATTATCTTGAATAAACGATCATCTTTATGATTTTCACTGAACTCTGCATGTGGTGACCTTTAAAAACGGACATACTGCCACCATGCCCTGAAAGTGGGTAGGGATAGGGAGTTCCAGATGAAGCACACTTCAGCTATATCTCAGCAAACATAGAACAGGTAGGTTTTACTGAAAAATGAAACAGGCATATGTACCAACTATTGACAGGAACCCAAGCCTGAGAAAAAAAAAAATACAGTACAATAAATAGCAAGGACTATTTAATAGCCCTTTTCTTACTGACGCATTCAGTTTTTTTCCTTGTACCATTTTATATGCTGTTAATTTCAAAGTCCTCCACTGTTAACATCTAGGAGTGACACAACCACACATCTTAAAATATGTTAAAGTTCTAAAGGGCCTGAATTTATTCCTGTTACTAGCCATGTAGCATTTCTGTATATGCACAGGCTTGCTACTGACTGCAGCTAATTTGTTTGTAAATCATCATTAATCTCAGCTGTATATTTTCACAGTTTGGGTAAACACTTCATTTGCATCAAATTTACAGCATTAATGAAATGTGAAATTTAAAATGCTACTTGAAACACAAATTACGTAAGAAACTAGAACAAAAACGTGGTTTTATCAAGTTTCAAATCAGCAGACCAATTTAAATCTATTAAACTAGAAATGATGATGTTGCAATGAGAATTGGGTTTTATAACTCATCTGCTACAACTAAAATGAAGACATGTAGGCTTAAATATCTGGAGAAAAAAACCCAAAATAACTTGAAAATAACAAACTGGACTATTTGCTTTGGAAAATTTGCTTATTTTTTTAAACTGATTCTGAATTCTGAAATTAGTATTTATTCCTTATGTATCTCATTCTCTACTCTAAAATCCTATTAAAGATTATATGTATTAGCTCTTGAAAAATAAAATAATTGAAAGAAATAGGAATAGAAGATCCTTAAAATGCCACAAATCTAAGAAATAAAGCATATGCTAAATTAATGTTTCTTAAAGGGTTTGGTTTAGTTTTGTTTTGAATAAGCTCCATCTTCACATGACAAATTCTGAAACCCTTAGGATGCCAGTCTAATCTGAGATAACAGCAGCAGCACGTAGGAAGGTAATATCGCAAAAGCTTCTCTATATCATTACACCTATGTGAAACTTGCCCACCTGTTGCTGGTGTAGGAAGGATGGGTCTCTTGGGCTTAGTCCCACATATCGATTGGCTTGGGATGTGCCTGAGGCTGTGTAGGCTGATTAAGGAAGAACAAAACAGATTGATAAAAATACCAACCTATCATAACTATTACCCTGTGAAGGTACAGTACAAATATGAGAGATCCAGAGTTATGATTTTGCAATATACAGGAAGTGTCTGTGTTTTTCCTTTATTTAAACTTTAACAGAATGCAAAAGAAAAAATTGGACCAAAGTTGGAAAGGCATGTGTAAATTCCTATAAACTTCAATGGAAGCTGCATATCTAAGTCATAATTATGTCTCTTGTTAAATAAAAGTTCCTCTGATTAATACATTTTTTAAGTGATCAAATAAGGTACGTATCTGAAGAAAACATGAGCCTGATTCTCATTTCCATTACACCAAACTAAGGCGCCAGTGAAAACACTGAGATAACAATGTTGAGAGAAAGTGTTAGTGTTAGTGCACACTTATTCTTACTGCTGTGAAGGCCCATCACAAAACTGTAAAAGAACAACAAAAAATGGAATTCAAAAGTTCAGCTTACTTATGCGGCATGAAATGAATCCTTACAGGCCTTGGCAAACAGGATGGAATCTGATAAGCATTTTCATGAGAAGGGAGCTAATTTTTAATGTGCAACATAACATTAAATATTCAATGCCCCTATGCATCAGGAAACAACATTTTTCCAAGGGGGGGACAATTTAAGGAAGTCTCCTGCTGTATGCTACAGAAGATTAAAGAAATCTGTTTCTGAGGAGAAAGAGAACTATAGGCAATGCTAGGATTAGTTACAGGATATGGATCCTTCACCTCCAGCTCACATTCCTGTCTGGTCTCTGTCAGTAATCCCTAAAAGTGATTACCCTTTCATGGGTTTTGGTGGCACTTATGAAATGAAGTAGGAGGTGTCACTCCATTTTCCAGTGTGAAGATGTCTGCACTGCAACTTGCAGCATCGCAACCTGGAATCTTGCTGGCAGACAAAGCAAAACTGACAGAAGCTGAACAGACATACGTAAAGATGTCAGTGAGGAGCTAGATGGGAGTACCTAATGAATTGGGCTGTTAGTAGTGAAGTCACACAGCAAACACAAGCAAAAGAAACCCATTAAATTAAAAAACAAAAAAACAAAAAAACAAAAAAACACGCTTTATCAGTAAACAGGCTTTACTGGAAAACTGTCATAAAAATTAATAATTTATTAGAAGAAAATTATGATGGAGGCCATAGGGTTCCCCAAATATTATCAAAGCCTGCTGTTCTTCCTCATTCAAAACAATTCTGCTATTGCACTTCAGAATGAAAAGCGGTGCTAATCGTTTGCTGTTTTATTCTCATCAGACTGAATAATAATGATAACTTGTTGGCCAAGCATATGTTTTATATAACTATCTTTATCTATTTTGAACCAATCAATCAGTTATTGCAAATAAAAGCAAAACTATGCCTTAAAATATATTTAGTTTAGATTTTCCCATTAAGTTAACATTAGCACTCTGTGTAGCAGGTCTATTATGACTGATTCTACAGTTTATATGTGTTCATACATAATTTATATATCAGCAGGACATGATCCCTCATTTTTTGCATTTTCCTTCATCAATAAGATATGTTTCTTCACTTTTTTTGCTCTTTCAGTTATCAATCCAGTCTTAAAAAGCCTTACCAAGCAGATAGACTACTCTACTGTTCTGAAAGCCCTATGTATATAAACATGTAAAGGGTGAGTGTCAGGAGGATGGAGCCAGGCTCTTCTCTGTGACATCCAGTGATAGGACAAGGGGCAATGGGTGCAAGCTGGAACATAGGAGGTTCCACTTGGATATGAGAAAAAACTTCTTCACGGTGAGGGTGACAGAGCACTGGAACAGACTGCCCAGAGAAGTTGTGGAGTCTCCTCTGGAGACATTCAAAGCCCGCCTGGATGCGTTCCTGTGTGATCTGATCTAGGTGTTCCTGCTCCGGCAGGGGGATTGGACTAGATGATCTTTTGAGGTCCCTTCCAATCTCTAACATTCTGTGATTCTGTGAACACTCTGAACATGTAGCATTTATATACTATCTCATATGCAGAACGGGCACTTTCAAATAAAATTTGTACATAAGGGGCTTTTATTATTTTTTACATGCTGTAGTGACAGACATAGGACCTTTAGGCAAGACGTTACTTGCACATTATGGAAGCATGAGGAGGCCTTACTTCAAATGTCTAAGTTGAGATGTTCTAAGGTTCACAGAGTATCGGGTACCCAAGTTCCAATGAATTGCACAAAAAACTGGGTGCCAACTTCATTTGAAAATACAGTCCAAATTTTTTCCTTAGTAGTACGACAATGACCAGATTAGGTTTGTTTTCCTGTAATGATGAATAACAGGGTCAGATTACCAGAAAACATCCCAGTGCAGTTCTGATACTGTATTTGTTATTTTGCCATTTGCATTAGAAATCCTGACCTCATCTGAGACAGCTATTTAGGCCAGGCATGACTCTTCTTAAATGTGAAAGAAGAATGTCACAAACCACCAGGGAGGACAGAGATATACTCTACCACCTTTTACCAAAACTTCTGCTATACTAAAAGAACAGCTAAAATACTTCCAGAAATCTATCCATATAGTTATTTGTTTAAACAATAGTTTCTCAAAAAATTACTGCTATCCTTCTATAATAAAGGTATAATCATCTTTCCTCCTTTACATCTCTGCCACTCATATGTATTTGAGTCTCATCTCTGCTTCACATTCTACTGAAAAGATTTACAGTAGTATAACACCTAAGAAACATACAGTCTATGGTCTCCATCAATGACAGACCAAAAGTTAGATACTGGATTCACAGTTCAAATACTAAACAGGTCTACAGCAAGTCATTTTAATGTCACAGACCCTAAAGAGATTAATATTTTTAAAGACTGATAAAGTTTCTTCCAAAGTGTATATTTTGGATTGTCTCCTAAAATCTTCATCACTCAGATAAATACTGATGACATTGGCCGTCTTACATTTAAATAAAAGTTCAAACACAAAAGAAATGCAGAAAGTAGTTAAAAATCAACATTCTGCATCACTGAGCATCAGATGAGTCCTTGGAAGAGAAGAAATTACCCTACACATAGTAACACCTTTGCTCTTATTTCCAAAACAACAATTCCATTGAAGATAATAGGATAAACACTATGGTCCTATATAGTAATAAAGAGTTTAAAATGTTAAAGTTAGGGGGTTTTTTTGTTTTGTTTTTGGTTTTGTTTTTCAAAGAACAGTGGATCTACCATCCATTGCAGAAATTACAAGAAATTAAAATTTTCTTTTGCCACATCAGTTGTTTTTGCTAAAAACGACACAACCTATATCAACATGCAATTGTCATAGCTCGGATTCAGTATGCGTTGTTACAAAGCTTGATTTCTGTAGGAAAGCTCATTGAGGAGCAAATTATCCAGTAACTGTTTGGAATTCCGTCTGTGAGTCATTGTAAAATCTTGCTGTCTGGGTGTGCTTCTCAATGATTTAACAATGTCCACCTTAGTTGAACAACCACGTTTTCCTTTTCTTGAACAGTGGTCAAATATGCAGGCTTTTCCCTTGCATTTTCACTGTCATGTCACAAACTTTAGTTCATGTAACATGATGCATTGGTTGAAATTTGAGGAGGAGAAGCTTTGCAGTAATATCACGTTTGCTCTCCACGTAAAATTATGAGCATCAACTTGGTCAAATAGTAGGAAAAGGCGCCTTTTTCTGGCCTCAATTTGAAATCATATCGAATCTTCGATGGACATTTTTTGTTTCCTAAAGAAATACTTACTGGTTGCTGTAGGTGAAGATGCCTCACCTTCAGTGGATGTACTGATGGGTTTAGTATCTGTCATGGTCAGGGTCACAGGTCGCACCGCACTGTGATGGGGAGAGGGTGCCAAAACTGGAGTAAAATGGCCAGGCACTTTCCTTACTACTTGACCACTGCCGTTAGGCTACAAAACAAAACCAAAAGAATGCCTTGTGAAACATACACATTGTGTTTAAGGAACCTACCCATCTACATTAGGGTTTTCCAGAATACCCATCACCGCAGTACCTGCACAGTGGAATGCACTGTTCTAACAAAGCTATGAATTTCTCCTCAGAATTAGGAGATTCTCTCCTCAGATATGTAATACACGCTTAAGTAGCAGTACTTTTTGGTAAGCGTTCTTTCTACTGGATGCGACATGCTTCAGAGTATTTCAAAATACATTTGCTGTTCACACAGTGGCTGTGAACCACAGTAAACCCCACATAGCAGGATTAAACTGACCAGGCATAGGACCTAATATATGAAATATTAAGAGCAAATGAATGATGCAAATCCTCTCTTTTCACAGCAATACCACTCTGGCTTGGAGCATAACCAAGACTTGACCACAGTCGTCCACAGAGATTATGCACACTGGAAGGCTAACTAATAATTCACGTTTGGGAATGGGGAAGAGGGTTAGGATACGATGCACTATAATGCATACATCATAATATCTGGCCAAAAGCCACCTACCAAAAACACAGAAGTGTTTAATAATGGGAACTCTGCAAGTTAAGAGCATAATAAACAGACTCTTCTTTCATAGATACAAAAGGCAGTTTACATATGACCTTACAGTACAGGTCATCAAGGTAATATGCTACTTTCTGTATATAAGCACATTTGAACTTGGCAATGTTCACTGTTAGATGCATATATTCATCCAATGCTTAAACATGCCTTAGGACATTCTTCGTGACTGTAAATATTCCAATGGTAAATAACTTGCAGTAAAAATTAGCAAGTAGTAAATAGTTCTTTCAAGTGGCTGATGATAACTTTTGTCTTAAATTGATTGTGAGTTCTGTGAATCATAAGTATCTTAAAATACCAAAGTAAAAAATACTGAGAATCTTATTTATCAGAAGGATCTTGTCAAATCTGAGATAACTCAGAGTTAAGAAATGGACTGATATAGGATCTGATTCAACCAATACAAGGAAAGGTTAAAAGAGGTAAGCATGACTATAGTAATGAAATAATAACTGGGCTGAGACAATCACTGCAAGTATGTGGAGAGTATAAACACACAGAAGAGGAAGGAATTATTTGGAAAGTACAGGAAGTATAAACTGGGGGTAATGGAATGAAATTGAGAAGGAGGAAATCTAAAATTAATAGCAGGAGAAACTTACTGGCAGTATGATCTACTAGACTTTGCAAATGTCCCCAAGGGACAGTCTTGTTCTTTAGGACATCTAAAACTAAGCTAGAAGAAAACACTAGAAAATGTAAGTGCAAATGGAGACCAATCTCGTATTCATAGGAACACTGAGCAGTTAGCAGACTATTTCCCTCTCTAAAATCACAAACCTTACAAGAAAAAATAGCAGTAAAAATGTACACTAATGAGAAGTGGCCAACAAACTAAATGAAAAAAAGTCACAACCTAAACATAACTGTATGTTTGGGGGTTGTTGGAGTGGGGGTGGGGACAGAAGAGCCATGGAATCCCAAGATCTTTCAAATACAGAAATTGGATGGTATTTACCACTTTTTCATTCATGTTCCTACTTGCATAAACTGAGAAGTTACTGCTAGGAGTTTAGTAACAGGAGTAAGTGACAGCTGTCAATGTAGTTTCAAAATAAGAAAGCAGCACGAATTCAAAGGAATGACAATACTTTCACAAATAACAGATTTCCCCAAATAACTAACATGATACATTGTTTTATTCACTAGGTGAAACTTAACAGCTAGATAGATCTTCCATATTATGTGTACTTGAAATTAAAATGAGGTGTGGCAGAATATATACAAGATAATTTCTAAAGAATAATGTGGTGTAGAAGTTTACAGACCATCTGATTGCATGTTTATATGACCAACAGGTCATAAGAGGGGAATCACTCAGTAATTACAGAGGTCTTTCCTGAAGAATGCCAATTGTATCTTTGTATTACAGCAAATAGTCACACATTAAGTATGTGTCAATAAGTCTACTTTCTTTGAGATCTGTCTTAGCAGTGTTTTAGGGAATTTTATTTTTATTTTACAAAACTGAGGTCTGTAACCTTGAGACAGAAAAATAAAACCTCCAAAGTAAGAAAAGGGAAAACTCATTAGAAAAAACTTCAGTAAGTTTAATTCTTATGGTTCCAATATTTCAGATTCTAAGAGCACATTAACTTTCAAATGCAATTATAACCTAGTTACCTGTCTCTTAATTTTATTGCATATTGTTGCATTTCCTCGAGTATCTTCTAATTTCTCCCCTCATACTGAAAGGTTCCTGTATTTAGATTTTTAACTAGCCTCAGCTGTAGGTAAGCACATATCTACCAAGACTTTTACATACATAATTCCTCAACAATCCTAGCTGTCTTTCAGATGTGAACTAAGGTCCTCCATTTGACACAGCTTGTCATGGGAAATGGTACACATGAAAATTTCTTAAAACTCTGTTTTTCCTAGGCATGCTACATTTGAAAACAGAAGTTATGAAAAGCAGTCTCGTACTCTCCCAAATTGTTACATGAATGTCACTCAAAATAAACCTTCCTGAAATGTCCATGCTTATCTTTCTTGCATGCAGTGAACAACAGTGAAGCAGTTAATAAAATTGATATTTAAGTTATCGTAATTAGTTTGAGGCTTAAGATCATAAAGTAGTCCTAAGTAAAGAGGTCACGTAAATTGTCTCAGAGTTATTGCTTAGGCCTGCCTGAAGACTGACCTGACATTGTTGCATTGGCTTATACTCCATTCACACTTCTTATCTTTGGAAACACAAAACTAAAAGCTTTTTAAATAAAGTTATAGATTCTGGACCATGGTGGTTGATAGTGGCACAAACTCAAGAACACTGGCTCTCTTGGATGTCTCATGTCCTCTGTCCTGCTTCAAGTTTTCAGTGCAAAGAGGGAAACCTTCTGGTCAGAAATAGCCTTCTGAACTTGTCAATGCATAATCTTATTGAAAACTGGCTGCTAGAAATAGCTTCTGTGACCTGTTCTCATTTTAACTTTTGCAGTCATGTCAAAAGATATTTTAGAACGGAAACTACGTTATCTATTTGGATGGTATCCACATGAATTACCAGTGCAAATATTTATAGTACATCATTTAATACAAATTCATTCTGTCCTTCTTTAAAACAAGTTCTAGGTTCTAGTTACAGTTTTCCCTGAAGAGATTCTTACAGACAAATGCACTACAGGTGAAAAATCAACTGTTACCATCAACAAGGGCATCAATATGTCTGTGTGATGGATTCACAAACAGAGAGACAATGCCTGAGGCATAAACCTCAAGCAAATTGCATGGAGGCAGGTGTGTTAGATAAACAAGCCGTGCATTTGACAATGGGACAGGGAAAGAAGCAAACACAATGAAGGTCTGGCAAATTTAGCCCCAATTTATGCAGGTATGCATTTTTCTGTTGTTGGATTGGAGGCTAATTTGATTTTCAGATCTGTGTTATATTTTCCAGCTTTTTAATTCACACCATCTTGAATAGCCACAGATTAGTCCATTAGCCCAAAGCCACAGATGAGTTGCATTCACTGTCATAGCTGTAACACAATTTAACTCAGACTGTCATACTGTTAGTATCTCATTGTGTGCACTACGCACACTTTCACTTAATCCTTATGTCCAAAGTCTGAACAGAAACCTGTAACAGATATGAATACAGACTTTCTTAAAATCAGAATTCACTATACCTGTTTTCTCTGCTGGGATTTTACTAACTATAGTCAGTAATTAATCAACCTCCTCTCAGATTTCTGTTCACATATTTGCCCAGATATCAGCACATTTACACCTTAGGTCTTCAGTTACATTTCAGGACAGTGTTTTGTCATAGAGCTCAGTATTTTCAGCCTTAAAAAAAACTTTCTGATGCCATAGTGAAATGGCAACACTAACATCTACAGATGAGATATCAAAACATAAAAAATTTGACATACACATTAAACAATTCACATAAACCATTACTGTGCTTAAATGATAAAATATATTTTATATTTAAATTTGCACAGTATCTTTTTTTGCAAAATACTTGTAATTATAATTCCAATTTCCAAATAAAATTATTCTAATTTTCCTTGGTATCTTAAATACAAAGCATCTTCAAAGAAATAATCAACAAAGGACAGAAATAATCTTAATCCTGTGCATGTCCTAGGTACAGCTACACACGATATTGTGTTAGGTATTTCAGAAAGAAGTTTCAGGGCTTTATAAAAATTACATTATTCTAGCTAACCACTATACTTGGAGTACAACATATTCACATCTCAAAACACAGGTTTTTCAATAGAAACTCTGTGGTTCCCAAAGAAGATTACTCTGTTACAGACAGATTACCAAACAATGAGTGCAGTTTAGTCAACCTGGATTCAGTGTGCTTGGAAATACTCTGTTACCCACTTCTTCTCAACAGCTTCAGTCCCTTGCAATGGCAAAGTTCAGACACTGTGGTGAAGAATGTCACTGCAAAACCCTATGGCAGTGTAGTTTTGAGACCGTTGACTGAACTAACATTGTTGATGAAGCTGTAAAAGTTCTAGTTCTGCACGTTTTGGTCCTCTGCTCACGTACCAAATATCTTGTCTTAACAGTTGTCTCCTGGCCACAACTATGAACCTGGAGATCATAGCTGATAAATTCTGTCTTTAAGTCCATGCCATGGTGCTCTGTGATATCCACAGAGGGTGATGGGTGTTTCAGAAAATCTACAAGCAAAAGAAATGGAGGAAGTATCCTCCATTTTTATAACTCCTCTCCTTTTTTTTTTTCTTTTTTTTTAATTTTTTGGTTATACAACATAAACTCAACCTTTTACCTCAGTAGAACTTTTGCCTAGGGCACCCTAATGCTGCATCACCTGTAAATGTCCAATGGCCATATTAGTCTCCCGCTGAAGACAGCTCAATGGTACAGGAGACAGTTTCATCAAACGTGCAGAAGACA